CTTAATTCTGTCGGTATGAAATTGGTTTATCAGGAATCACAACAATTAATGAAAAAACAGTAATGTTGATCAATATTGCTAAATGTTATGGATCTGTAACCATGTGTAGAGTAATTTCTCATACTTATATGTTTGTTAACATTTTAGGGTGATTTTCTTGAATTTTCTTTTTTGAAAGGTTCCTGAAGTTCTTACTTATCCCATTTGGTGTTTTTTTTTTTTCTATACTCATAATGGTCCTTGTCGTCGTCAGTTGCCTTTGTCCCATTGCCTTTCATCGTGTCGGTCATTAGGCTTTCCTCATGTATCAGGCCTTCCTCATGTATCATGATTGTTGATCTCAAAAAGGGAAAGACGTTGAGGCGAAGGAGGTGGCTATGAAAGGTCTTCCCTTCCTTTCTCCCTTGCATGGCCCATCACGCTAGACATCACCTACGCAAACCCACTTGTCGCTTTGCCCCCTTAGTTTCACCACCAACTTTGCCATGAAAGGTTTTTCCCTCTTGATTGTCACCAAGCACCTTCCCATGACGTCTACTATACCCCTCATAACCGTCTCTCTCCTACCTGTCGATCTCGTCAAGTCATCTAACAACGAAGCATTGCACTCCAATCATCACGGTGATGTGGAGGGTAGGCACACAACGAAGTCGAAGTCAGGAGGCAGGAGGCAGGGCCAACCCCTTGTCGCGGTCCATGATGCCCATAGCCTCAATCTCGACTTTTCCCTTGCTTCTAACCCCCTTTGGAGGCCCTTGTCTCGTCTCCTTTAGTGTCATTAGCAACCACCCCATCCTTCTCCTTGTCCTCTTCGATCTTCATGCTTCCTTCCTCATCCTTCATCTTGCCACTATTCGAAGGTAGACACTCAAAGGTGAGGGGCATTATAGAGATTACAAAAAAACAAGAGGGCACCAAATTAAAAAAGTAAAAACTATGTGTACCTTTCAAGAAAATCATAGAAAGATAAGTAAAATTATTTTTGTCACCACTCATATCAATATGTTAGGTGGGACTCAACATTAGGAAGATAGCAATGTGGTGTTGACGAGGATGTGGACTTGCCCTATAAGATCAACCACATAATGTTAATGGGAAAGCTAACCCGATGGATCGATACTCCGTAGCCCCTTGGATTTGACATATGATCAGACGATCGATGACTAAAGTATATATGTAATAGTTCTCGATATTCATCACCATCCCACTGAAATGCACCTTTGTTTTGTTCTCGATGATAGTTTTTACTCTAGCTAGCTCATGTAATATATATCATTTACCTTCGGTGCTTAGACCCCCAATCCTCTAAAGCCTCATTAATTTAAGTATTAGAGGAGTGTTGTTGTCTCGATACCTTGATCCGAAACATATTTTAAAGTGAACATCACCTACATGTCAGACAATTAGAATATATATGGGATAGGTTAAAGGTTTGATTTTCCTAAATAAATCTAACAAAGAATGAAAAAAAAAAAAAAAAAAAAAAAGTATACTGGGAAGGGACCAAAATGACACACCAACTGCAGCTGTCACCAGCCCCATTGGTTTTTAATGGTAAAGCAGAAGATGGCACTTTCTTTCATTCATGATAACAAATAATAGTGGCCATTAGGCCTTCAATTCTCCATGCCAATGCCAGTCTCATCTTCTGTTTATTTTAAGTAAAAAAAGGATTAGGTGAGTGTCCAATGGTTGGTTTGTGGTGGGCACTCACTTTGACAGTCGTTGTTGGTTGTCGATGAGGTGTCGAAAGAAAGAAAGAAAAAGAGCCATGGGAAGAGCTCTTCTAATTGGATTGCAGACCAAACTAAAAGGTGGTTGGTTGTACACCAGCAGAATCATTTTGGTGATCGAGATGGTTTTACTACTAATTTACTTACATACAGGTTAGTCACTGTAATGATTGCTTCATTGTGTAGCAAAAGTCCACACTTTCCGTTCATGAGAAGAGGGGAACACTGACTGACTGACTGACTGACTGACTGACTGACTGACTGCATCGTCATGCCCTCCGACATCCCACGCATCGGAAACTAGTACGGCACCGTCTTTATTACCGCGAAGATGCCTTTCTCCTCAGCCCCCCTTTCCTTTCCTTTCCTTTCCTTTCGGGCTGGCAGAGCAACAAAGATGGGGATGCCATGGCATCGTCCTCCTCCAATCTTCAAGCTCGAAATGCTGGAGGGCCTCCACCTCATCACCCTTTCGGCTATCAGGTCGGTCACCACCACATGCGGTGCTGGTAAAGAGGCACCACCGATCGCCATGTCCTATCGCCAGCTTTTGTCCTCGGTCTCAGGCACAAGCGCGGCTTCTCATCATAACTTTCAACCGAATGGTGCTGCCATCGGATGCAAATTTTACCATCTCATAGGGTTTTACTAATTTGTGTCGTCATTAAAGAGGAGAAAGTGAATCGGCAAGTCTCTTTTCCTCTGTCTCACAACCATCCCGACCACACTACCCATATCATTCATCAGCGATACAGCCAACTCACATTTCAAGAACAGAGACAAGGAGGACGCTTAGAATTTCCAGCGATCAAACCCAAATCACAGACCAGCAATCCATCAAAAGCACAATAAAAAGTTCACCAACAAATCAAGAACATCAATGACAAACAAAAAAAAAAACAAATGAAAACAAGCAGAACAATCAATAATAATAATGCATCGATCTCAGCAACCACCAAAGTGTCATCATATCTACAGGCTCACACCAGACTCCCATCATAATTTATATATCACCACCATCGCCATCAATATTACTGAAACAAAAACCCTAACGACGACCCGTGAACCGAGACCACGCAGCAGATCCCTCAATGGCGGAGGGATCCCAGGAGGAGGGCGACGGAGGATGCGAGCAGGGCGATGGCTAGCGGCGGGGAGAGGCCGCCGGCGGCGGAGGTGGGGCTCGGGGCCGGAGCATCGGCGGCGACAGCTCCTCCGGCCAGGAAGGCGGCGGCAACCACGGCAGCGAGGAAAACCGCGAGGGATTTGCCTTCTAAGCCCGCCATTGCCAGATGAAGCTCTATTTCTTGAGATAGGGTTTCGAGCGGGGCGGGGGGCGAGACGGAGGAGCGTAAGCTAGTCCGAGAAACAGGGTCGGCGTTGATGGATGGGTGGGGGGACTATTTATAGCCAAGAGGAGTCAGGTAGCGGAGCGGGTGGCTGCCCGATCCGATCCGATCCGATCCGATCCGACAGCTGGCGACAGCTGTACTTTATCGGTGGCTAATATGGTTCTTTATTTAATGAAATACCCACCAAAACTGGTGCAGCACATCAACATTATTTTCCGCATAATTGGAAGCCGATAATGCGACAGCTCTCATCGCATCGCATCGCATCGTGTGAACAGCTGGGGGTGGGGGGCCGACGGACGGACGACAGGCAGAGGGAAGTGAAGTGTGTTGTAAGATCATTCGTTTCTACGTGCTGAGAGATTCTTGGGTCGGTCGGTCATGCAGGAAAAAGGGTCCAAACGCCACGAACACCAATTTGTTGAAGATGAATTGGGTGGAACGAGACATGTATGTGATTTGTTTTGTGTGTGTAAATGGTTTTCATGCAAGGAAAAGGCGGCGGCTGCCATCTCCTGCAACGAGGACTGTTCCCCCCTGAATCATTCACGATGGATGATGGCCCAATAATTTCTTAGGCTCACTGTGTACATACGTACGTACACTGTAGATTTCACATAAGTGAGCTGGAGGGAGGGCTGAGCAAAGCGTTGGCAAGGGTAATGGACACCTCCTCCTCTCTTAGCAAAGTTGTGTTTGTGCATGTGAAACGACGACTGCGGCTTTCTCTGTTCCTTCCTTCCTCCAGTGGGCGGCATGCAGTGTTTGTTCATGGATGACCGATTCATTCATGATATTCGCGCGCATGCACACACACACACGATGCTACAGAACAAAAAAATTGATAGCAGATAAGATTTTTTCAACTATACGAGGAAATCTCTCTATTCTGTTAACTAAAGCTTCGAAGAAGAACCCATCGGAAAATCTGACAAAAAATTACCTTCGTCCTCAGAAACTCGATGCCGCAACTTGCACCGGAAGAAGCCATGATTTGCAACAGTATAAGAGAGAAAGAAAGAAAGAAAGACATGGGTGGATGGAGAATGCCTCTGATACTATGTGTAAAGCACCGATCGGTCACCGTCACCTCGCACGATTCCTCCCTTTGCACCATGTGATGCAAGATTCCAGCCACGACAGCATCTATGCTCTTCGGGCTACAGAACACGAGAGGAGGTTCAAGTGTCATCGAGTAAAGTAGGATGCGATGGTGGCTTTGGAAGAAGGCTGCTTTCTCTTTCCTGGACCCTCTGCTGATGGTCATCATGCGCTTGGCAACCACTGCGTGTTTGACGATGGCCTCACTATTATGGGCTTCTGGCACATTGTTGTAGTCACTGTGCTTGTGTCCTTGTCCCTGCCGATGCTGACGGCAAGAGTCTGCACACGGTGGCATGCCTTACGAGCTGATTGCTCCCGTGACCCACCAGCAAATCCTTGCCTAACGATCCCTACTCGAATCACTGAAATCAATAGCATTCGAAGCATTTTTCTTTTTCTTTTTTTTTTGGCAATAAAAAGCTATTCAATTAATCAGCTGGGACAATAATTAGTCCCCAAAAATACATCGATCACCAAAAAAAACACTTGCCTGAATGGCATGAGAAAGGGAGGGCTACAAAATTGACTGACATCCACAGAATCAGCCAGCATTATTGATGTCTTTACAGACATTGCGTAAATACCAAGGAGGAGATGTCGTTCTATTACATACAAATCATCACGGCTTCCAGGCAATCTGATTTGAAGCATATGTCACCTGCTCCTCAACCTCCTGCAGAGATAACACATTTGACAGAGGAAGACTAGTAGCCAAGCTGGGAATAAAAAAAGTTTAAAAACATGAGCCGTGCAGCTCAAGCTGGCCGACCACGACCTGACCATCCAGCAATCTAATTCAATACCCATAGCATCTCTTCAATCCGGATAGTTTCATTAACCAAAAAAAGAAATAACAAAGTCGAATAGAGAAAGAATTGCAGATCCTATATCCGCATTTTCTAGTGTTATAACACGACTGCTGTGAGCATGTTTCTCTTTGCACAAGGGTTAGATCCATAAAAAATTTCACTAGTTGCTCCTACTTTCCTTTTACTCTTCACCTCATCTTTTAACAGGATGAAACATCCGTACCCTAGACTTCGAACAACTCATGTGTATCACCACCCTCTTATATGACTTTGATCTCTTGGTTATTCTTTCGTTGTTCGCTCAGCCTCCTTATCTGCTATTCCGAGTCACTTTCCATGTTTCCCATCGCCTTTAAACCCCGTGGCTTCTGTGAAACAAGAAAAGATAAGAACAGGTTTGAAGATGCTGCATTTATCTATTAAATAAATCATTGCTCATTTATCTAAATTCTCTATTTGCTAGCATTATGTTAAGAGAAATTACAAACCTTCTTTGAGATCTTCTTTTCTCGGACTTCATACCGGTCTAAGGTCAGATCACAAAGCCATGCCCCCGGGCTCACCAGCTTTTTCAGAAAATGTGCAAAAGAATTTAATGTCAAGAACTAAAAATATGAGAAAAGACAATCAAAGAACAAAATATGTAGCCTTCAAGTTATACTACCAAAGTGTTGAGACTATCAGTGTAATACCCACCACGTAGAATCTTAATCATAATAGTAAGAGGTGCTTCGACTGTCACTATGGTATTTTATATTGAGGAGTAATTGTTTGTGTTTCTAAGTTTATACAAATAAGCAAATCTGTGAAGATAAAGGAATGCATCATGGGCTCTACATGTTGCATCCAGAGGAAAAAGCTCAAGTATGACGGGATGATGCATCTGAACAACATCAATGCATACAAGTTGTTCATCCTTGCCTTTACCGATTTGGAACGGACATATACAGTACATAAAGAAATTAAAAAAAAAAAGAGAATGGATTTCAGTTGGCGAAGGACTTGTGGCCTATATGATAGATCTGGAAAGAAGTGCTAAATTAATGGATCTCTAGCTAGTGGCAAAAGATTGTCAAGGGTTGCACTCGAGTGAGAGAATTGCTTTCAAGTATGGGCCATGGGTCATCAGAGCCTCCTACATTCGAACACAGCCTGGAAAACAGAACACATCTAAAAGACACTGACTTCAGTTGACTCAGAGACATCACACGAAAGACCGGTTACACCACAGCCCAGTTGTGCACCTGCTTGCCAAATGAATCATACTTTCTTTTAACTAATTAAATGTGTTAAATAATCATTATTAAACTGGAACAGACAAGCACATACTAACAATTACCAAAGGTACGCAGTTTTACGCAATGTCCCTTCATGGCAACATGGTATGCAACCTGTTAGAGCCACATTGCTGATGAGATACCAGAGGGTCACAAGAACTTATCCAAATCTGTCTGTCCAAAACTTCACCATTGTCCATTGTTATTCAAAAAAAGGAACCACCTTGCTACACTCTCATGAATTCTGATAATATGAAACTAAAATGAGAAATATTCTCTGGCATATATGCACACTACCATAAAAAGAGAACAATGCTTCCCAGTATCCATTTTTCCTCCGTACTCAGATTCCTTTCTGTTTCCAAGAGATTGAAGCAATTCTTGTCTGTAAATCAAATTATACAAAAGCGTGGCATATATTCAAAGCTTGTAACATGATTCTCAAACTTTTTATAGTTCCAACCTCAACCAATGCAAGCAATGGGAGGAATTGAAATTTCTCGTTTTTTAAATAAATAGAGCCTTTTAGGTTTGGATGAATCCAAAGATCTGCAGGAAAAAACCTTTAAAAGAAAAGACTGGCATTTACTGTTTCCAGCGAAGCTAATGGCCTTACAGCAATATGAAAGTGTCTTAAAAACTCATGCTGAATGCTCTAAAAGAAGCGTCCAATGTAGGTGACTAATTAAAGGCAAAAATAAGCTAAAAACTTATGAGTCCCCATGATAACATTTACATCTTCAAATTTTGATAATTATGCATTCCCAGTATTAAATAAAGCCAAAGGAGAAATATTTTAGGAAAAGGAATCAAGACAACTAAATGTGTATACTCTACAAGCACAGAATATGCACCATGAGATAACTGAGATAGAACGATAAATGAATGTTTAGGACCTTTAGGTATTCCTTTCTTGAAAGAGTGGAACTTTTTTATGGGCAACATAAAAAAGTTAATAAAGTTTTGTTTAGCTCCTAATCTGCATTGCAATACAAGACTACAACCAAAAGACAAAAAGGGATATGAGAAAAGAGTGAATTCATAAATGTTGTTACACATTCTACAAGCATCGGCCAACTACTTGTATTATGTTATTTCAGTTAGCTCCTAATCTGCAATACCAGTCATTGCTTATCCTTAGATTTACCCATTTTGGGGACTGTGCACATATTGTATACAAAGACATCCTAGAAAAATGGAGAGAACTAACTTTACCCAGCTGAGGACTTTGTGAGACTATAATAAATCTAGATCAAAGAGCTAAGTTGATGGGCCTTCATTTCACCACAAAAGATTGGCGGTGATTTTAGCCAAATGAGAGAAGCTCATGCCTTTAGCGTATGGACCATGGGTCACTAGAGCTTACAACATTCTAATATAGCCAAGGAAACAAAACACATCTATAATACACTTCATGTATTTGATTTAGATAAGCTGCAAGGAAGATTGGTGCCATCACGGACCAATCATGCACCAAAACTTGCCGATTAAATCATACTGTTCTTACCAATTAGATGTGCTAAACAAAAATGATTAAACTGTCATGGAGAACAGACTAGCAATTTTTAAACAAGGTACAGTTGAACCAACTTTTTTTTGTTCAAAAATTTGCCAATATTATTTGAAAACACACACACACTGCTACAGTTGCATGATTTCAAAATTTTTCCATTTGTCATTTTAAACTATGATGAGGAGAAGTAGCTTTTCTGCAAATGCACACTATCATAAAAAGATAACAATGGTTCCTATTTTCCACTTCCCCTTGTATTCTGATTCCTTTCTCTTGGAAAGAGAAAGGATCAATCCTCACCACTTTCATGCATAAAGTCATCTTGGCTTCACAGCCAATCCACATATATTCACCAGCTTCGAACAACATCCTCGCACTTTTAAAAGTTCCAACCCTTGAACAACGAAAGCAATGGGAGCGATTGAAGCACTTTTTTTTTTGTTATATAGTGATAGGGTAATATGGAGAAATCCACATCTCTTTGATAAAAGAAGACCTTAAAAAGAAAAGAATGGCATATGACAAAAGAGTGCATTTGAAAATGGATTTACATACTCTTCAAGCATTGGCCTAAATACCGTATTATATTATGCACTGTATTACTTGTTGGTATCTTTGTTTTCTATTTCAAATCCTTAATCACTGCTCTGCTCATCCACTAAACTTTAAATTCTCTATGGAGAACATGATTTCTCCCAATAATGCACATCAGCTATCATATAGATGTATAATAGTCCAGAAGCTCGCCCAGAGAGGCGATGAACGACTATGAACATCACTAGAAGCTCTCTCCCGTACTGTCAAAATGGGAAAAAAGAATCCCGGATAAATTAACAAGTCAATTTTCCAATGCTCTCGTCCCCACCCACTCTCATGGGCCTTTCACGAAGTCAAAACCTTGGCACGTTTACCAAACCACCTAAATTTTCCGCCCAACGCTCACTGTTCAGTCTAAAGACAGATAACTACCACTCCCATGTCATACCAATGATAACGAAAAATTCTTTTCTTGCGCTTGGCACCAACTACCCGTGTGCGTATGAGACAAGAAGTGGGCTCCATGTCGTACTACAAATGACATTGCAGGTAGGAGAATGGGTAAGTCATAATCTTTTAGAAAAGCTGAAAAAGTTTCCATCTTTCCTTTCCCAACAGAATCCTCTTTATAAGAAAACTCTAAGTATTGTATTGCCCTATACGTATTATATAAGAGTAATTGATTTGCTCGACACCAAAAAGTTAGTAACGATGGGGAGAAGAAGAGTGGCGAGCTTACGTTGATGGTCCGCTGAAGGAGCTTGGCCCGCTTCTTGGGGCGCTGGGGAAGTTTGGAACCCTTGAAGACCAAAAAGTCCTCTTCCTTCTCCTTGTTCGTCAGCGACAGAGCCAGCTTAGGCCACGCTGCCGCCTTCTGAGCCCCATCCATCGACGCCGATCCCCCGGCTTCCACGCCCCTCTCCCTCTCCCTCTCCGGCGATGTCACTCCACGTTTGCCTCTGATAGCAGCTGCCTCTGTCGCCTCCAAATTATTCCTAATTAGAAAAAGGAGAGAACAGAAACATGTGTTAACGAAGCAATAAAGTGATCGACCAACCTGACGGACAGGTATTGCATACGAAAGCCTATTGTCCCTGCCTGACTGCTGTCGGCTTATTCTGGGAGAAGGTTGAGGAATTGCCGATGTGGGGGGAAATGCCGGTGGTCCCGTGAGAGAGAGAGAGACAGGGAGGAAGGAGTGTTTAAACGTGACCCATTGATTGTAGGCTTGCCCTCCTGCATCCTTGACATGAGATGCAGGTGGAACGATGGTGCATGCACGTACAGCGTTAACCAATCAGACGGCACCGGCTGGCTCACTCACCCAGGCCCATCTGTGACAAGTGGCCGGGCAGGTGCTACTGCCAGTAGCGTGGCTTGCGTGGTTGGCACGGCAGGGATTCTTGTGCCGACGCATGGAAATTAAATAAAAATATGATTGTCACTTGAGTTTTTTTTTTTTTTTAATTTTAACATCGAAATTTTCTTAAATGTTTTTTGTCTTTTATTACTTCCCGTATCATATGAATCTACAAGGAAATTAGGATACTGATTGGGAAGCTTGGACCGGGAAGAACAGCAAAAGACCCGGTCGTCGCTGTCCCGTCCCGAGAAACAGATCTGGGACACGGAAGAAAAGTATGATTAGCCGTGGGTTCTCTCACGTGCCAGCGGCACGTGAGTCGCCTTCCGCCCTCGCGGTTGGGTTGCGACAAGCAATAGATGACGGCAAGACAAGACGTGCCACCGAAGGGCACGGTAGTGTTTCCCATCCGAAACACAGCGGGGAATGACCCACCACGGAGATAAGAGGCCACTGTAATATCAAATAGATATCTCTGAAGATTTCAAATGCTAAACGAGACGGGAGGGAGAAGGGTACCTGAGCGCCTGTTTGTAGGGGGCCGAGGTGGCTCTTCGAAGAGCACGGTCGGCGCGAGCGGCGGCTGCAGTGGTAGCGGTAGGCTGGTTGCCGGTGGCGGCATCGTTGTCCTTGTGCTGGAACTTGATGCACCGTAGCCGCTTACGGCTCCCCCACTGCAACAGCAACTCCGGCGGCGTCGGTAGACTCTCGTTGTGGTTGCTGCTATTAGGTAATGCTTCAACTGCTCCTCCGCCTCTTCCCGTGCCTCGCACGCGGTGATGATTCCCAGTTGGCTTGCTTTCCATCTCCTGCACGTGCCAACCATGTACCCATGAGCATCATTCTCCCGTTTCCTTCGCATTTGGATTTAGAGGGAAGGCGAAGGAAGACGATGACTGCTCGTTTAGATGATTAACATGTAGAAATAAAGAATGAACGATTGCAAAGGGAGGAGGAGAAGAAAGATGAGATACGAGGAAAATCCAATAAAAAACATGACCTTTAAGTACATTCTTACATGTCCTCTTATTCGATCGAGTAATACATCCGAACATTCATGTTTGATCCTTCCCCATCAATATTAGAAACGTGATTAATTGAACCTATGACAGCGAACAAAGAGAGAGAGAGAGAGAGAGAGAGAGAGAGAGAGGAAACACGACCTGTAATAACAGAGTACATCAAATGAACTAATTCGAAGAAAAAGAATTGCCAATGAACTGGGATGCATAATAATAGTCAAGGATCACTGCCACCATTGACATTTCTTGATCTTCTTCTGTTTCGATTCTACAGTAAAAAACTGACTTAGAAAACAGAGGAGAAAATTAGAGAAATGATACAAAAGAAACAAATAAGATATCTTAGTGGGTTCAGCGGCAAGAGAAGAAGTTTAGACACTTCAGCAGCAAATTGGTCCGAATTGTTTTACCATAATCAGTTAACAATGAGAGAACAAGGGATAGCTTTCGTTCAAGGAATAGAGACGGAAGATGAAGAGAAACCGCTTCCTCTTTTGTCCCAAAATAATCACAGAAATGAAAGAACAACCAAAATTTGTTGAAAAGGACATGGCTACATGTCAAAAGACAGATTTCAATCGTCTATAAGTATTCAGGTTTGTGCACGGAAAAAAAAAAAGATCATACCTTTGATTCAAGCTGATGAACATTGATCCACTCTGATCCAATTGTAATTAAGACTCCAAACAGGTCTAAAGGAAAATCAGTTCGAAAAGGGAAATAGGAAGGAGATCACAGCATTAATGATCTTGAAAGGGTCGTCCCTGGGAGGTCTTGGATCCTACTTGCAAGAAAACCCGAAGAACATGTCAAGTTTCAGAATCCAATCCTCTGAATAATGATCAGATTTCGCCGGTTCACAATGGGATTTCACCAAATTTGATTGAATAAGACGACAGATCGTTGGGAGCATACGATTGAACAAAGGAATGCCGACTGAGGTTTGGAGAACACGCATCTGTTTAAGTTATGGAAAGATCACATACTTTGCTGGTTGATAACAGAACGGCGTAGTAGTACTCAGAGAGCCTTGAATCAAAACGGAGGACTCGCCTTCATCAGAACATCAGCATCGTACGACCCTCAAGATCAAGTCCTGCAATCTCCTCCTCAGTTGGTCCCGGGAACTCTGGAAATCAAGAACAGATTAGGAATCAGGAGAACTCATCCAGCAATTTCTAATAAAACCAAGCAGTGACGAAATGCATACCTTCAAAGGCTACAAATATTTTCAAATCCGTCGATCAATCCTAATCCCAATGGAATTTAACAGCAGAAATTTACTCCAAACAATCGAAGAAGGAAAATCGGAGGAAGAACCGCAGTATCCAGATTTCTTTTCCTCTGGAATCGTCTTCTTTTACTCTTCAAGAAGAACAAGAGGGAGAAGTGAGCGATCGAAACTGCGAGCTTTGATCGACGAAATGCTGCCTTTCTCTTTCTCCCTCTCTCTCTTTCTCTCTCTCTCTCTCTCTCTCTCCCCTGATCAGGCGTCTTATACGCCCGCTTGTGCTTTGTGGCTTCTCCCGTTCAATAAAACGGGATCACCGGGTTCGGCTTCGAGTCTCTCTCTCTCTCTCTTCCTTTGATCCTGCGATGAACGATCAGCGAAGCTCTTCTGGTTATGTGATGATTCCCGTTACGCTGCTCCGTTTTATTCTTCTCCATGCCGTGCGAGCAGTGTTAATGCGGTCTAAGTTGACGGCGTCATGTTAACATCCTGCTACTTATTTTCCCGTCTGGGTAATGAGTTGGGCCCCACCGTCAGATGCTTCGTTCTCTACCCTTTGTTCGCTATTGGACGGATCGGATTGGCACACAGGAAACAGCCCTGGATTTTGTTCGGTGGGACCCTTGCATTCTGGAAACTTCAACCTCCTCTTTCCTTCCCATACCAATAAAAATAATTAATAAATCGTCGCCATTGTCTATTCGTTCCGTTCCCGGCTCGCTCTCAGCTCCATTTGGTTTGCTGCCCTTTCTGGGTGAAATCGTAAGAAACGATTGTTAATTTTGGAACCAAGGATTCCTTTTTTTTTTTGCTACGCTTATCATTGATCTCATTTTCCTTGATATTTTTGTCCACGCGTTTGTTCCATTCCTAAATGGCTTGCGATCGGTCGATCTAAGATTAGGGTTTCACTTCCCGTTCTTCATTTTGCATCTTGCTAAAATCTACCTCGTTTTTGTGAATTTTTGTCTGTGCAGATTTAACGAGGGCACTGCCCTGAGAATCTTTTGTACGATCTACCATTATTTTTTTTTTTTATTTTAATACAAGTTGTAGATTTAAAAGATCATTGACTTCCAAAGTCACCTTCTAAGTTTAGGGTTTTGGAATGAGAAATGGATTTGCTGTAATTTGTGGACTCAACTTCTACGCTGGACTTAATTAGATCAATAAATTAGTCCTTATTTTGGCAACCGAACCCTGCTTCGAGTGGAAATGTGAATGAAAGAATTAGGAAAGAACAAGTAATATCAACAATGGGCAAAGTAGTTCAAAAGCTACGAGCGCCACTACTGTGAGATCTCGGCATCTCTGTCGCGCGAGTGTACATCGACTGCTTCTCTGTGTGGAGGTAAGATGCAGTGGCATGCCTTGTAATTGAGATTTATTCTTATGGTAATCTATTTATTTGTGTGCTCTACAGAGCAGAAGAAGTAGAAAGTTTGTGAGATTAAAGTTTAAACCTGGACTCGATGATGCAGAACTTTTGGTAATATTTGGACCTGGCCCTTTTTCTGGGTTCCTCAGTCGGAGATTACCGGTGGTCTTACTTGATATTATCGTGATTAGGAGCTAGGCTGTTGCCCCCTCTCATAATTTGCATATGCTTTGGATAAACTTGATCATAAATTGGTTGTTGGGTGGTTGGTGCTACTTTACAAAATTGGCATTGGATAGCCTCTCACTCTGTATCTCCAACATTATATGCCTGAAAACTTGTGGAGTGCGACGATAAGTTTGATCTCCATATCTGTTCCTATATCCATCTTACCTTTGTTTTTCAAAGATCATATATTGTTTAGACATTGTTTCTGTTTTTTAATTCAGTCGGTCCTTAGGATCCCTGGTGTGTTTCCGTGGTTGATCAGTTTACAGGATATTTGAATAAGAGTATATATTTTTTGATTGCTAACAGACTTTCAGTGAAAAAGAAACTCACCTTGTTTACGGTGCATGAATCTTATTACTATCTACAGGAAGGCAAGTGTTTTTGCTATTTATCTTTTCACCATGTGAATCAGGATGACAATTTTAATTTCTTGTACTTAAGTCCCTGGAATACAATTCTTCTTTCTTGTACTGGATGGATCTAAAATTATAACACAAAGTGGAACTGATATATGAAGCAATACAGGAAGGGGAATCATGGAAAATTCTTTAGGACGTCCTAAAATGGTAGATGAGAACCACTATCATAAAATGGATTGTTGAATGTAACTAGTGACTTGAACTGAGAATATCTAAGAAAGCTTCTGATGCAGAAGTAAAATGTTCCACAAAAAGTAAAACCCAAGACAGGAACTCACAACAGTATCATGCCTTAGGAAATCAAGTCATAATTTGTTTGAATAAAACGTCAGCAATATGGACCTTCAAAATTTGGAGTGTTATTGTTGTTGCTTATGAGATATTTAAGGTAGTTATTTATTCATTGATTTTTCAGTAACTAGTGCTTTTTAACATAGTATGTGTGTTTCATTGGATTATGCCATGTCATAGATCTCTGCTGATCAAAGATGAAAGCTGCTGATGTCAACAGAGAGATTAAACCAATCTACTAAAAGTAGATTGGTTAAAGGAGAGCAGAACAATATTGGGTGCAGAAACACTTGGTGTCTCAACTCGGCAAGACTTGCACCAACAGCATCAATCTCTCTTGCATGCTTATAATGCAGTATGTTCTCGTGCCAACCATCTTATATTTTCTGTATAATGTTTCATTTGTACTCACAGCACTTGATCTCTCATCTTTTATCACTCATTTTCTTAGTAGTCCTATCTTATGGATGTTAACCTTTGGGATCATGCCAATTGTGCCATCTAATAGAGGAAATATGTAATAAGGTAAGAGATTTTGACTCAGTGTTTTATTTCCTTATGGACTCATAAAGTTATGAGTTCCACACTCGCTTTGCCAATAATCAATTAGTTAACAAAAAGTTAGGTAGCAATGTCATGATCTTTTGGCAAGAGTTTAATAGGATAGTGTTGGAAAGGCAATCTAACCACATCAAATGGGTTGATTGGCCTTGGGAAGAGCATTTGACCAAATCAAAGGACCTGTGTCTGAACGAGTGTTTGAAACTGTGTTTATAAATTATCCTTTAAAGTTACAAATGGGTGCAAGAGTTGTAGTATTATGAATAGGCTGAAGCTTTGTTTGCCAGATTTCAAGTAAAAAAATTATTGGTTTCAAGCAATTCTCTTAGATCCTCTTGCAAATATTTTGTAGAGATTGTTTAAAAAATGTTAGTGGTCTATTGAAGACATCTGTATGGGAACCAATGACAACATAGCAACAGCTGATATCTGGGGGCACATACTGGAACTTCTGTTACATACAAACAACTTCAATACTTATATTAGAGAATAATCACATAATTTGCAATTAGTTAATCACTCTGGTCCAGATTAGTAAAATTGTAAGTTTCATCAACTCCTCTTCCACCTCACTTTGGTTATCTGGGATCTTCTCCCTTGGGAATACTATTTTTTTGTGGCTGTATTTTATAATCACAATTTTAGTTTAGGCTACCTTCTGGATGGTGATCCCAAGAAGCAAAATTCGGTACACAGAGGAAGTTTTGACTCGATCAAGCGGGGATCATGTTATCTTTATGGTCCAGATGAAGTAAGAGGGGGATTGGACTGACGCAATCAGCTTAGAGTTTGCAGAACTGCTATTGGCAGACTTGATCGAGAGTGATGTTGTTCACTTGGGTAATCAAAGAGTACATGTCGCTATGGAAGCAATGAAAGCTTTTCTTACCAACTGTTTGGCACAATATGGAATTGGTTTGTCCATCCTACTTTCTCAACGGCGAAGTTCTCTTTCAGATAAGCCAAAGATCTTATGGCTCACATTGTTTATGACCACAATTGATTTTTCTTACCTTCTTTACTAATACATTTAACCAGAGTACTTTTTCATAACTCGTCAACAAACTAGATTCCTGCACCAAACACAAAAAGTAAAAAATAAAAATAGGAAACATTTCAAGGGATTGTTTCATCTGCTGAATTCACATATGTTTGGTTTGATTGATTGTATCTATTGAAACTGAATACAAGATGCATCTCAGATATGATATAATTTTTCTATTAAGATTACTGCTTTTTGTATGCATTCCATCAAATGTAGCCTGATGCTGCATGATTGCACTATCTTAGGCAGTAGGTTAAAAGACAGAATCTGCAAAGTGTTTGCTCTAGCCACAAGAAAAGTGGTGGCTTTCAAGTTTTGATTTCATTTCTGCTCGTCTGTTTTTCCACTAAATGGAGTATTGAATTGATATTTTTGAGCTTGATTTGAATTGCAGCTACATGGAGTGGCTGATAACATTGGTAAGAGTAGGAAATTCCCCACTGGCATGTCGAAAAGAATGGATAGGAGCAAGTGGGCAATCAATAGCATCGACATTGTGCTGGTTTTGGACAATTTGTTGATCCTGTAGGTTGAGCTCACCCATTAAGAATTACTGCAAATTTTGTTAATTTAGTCTTCCAATTCATTACATACTCGAGTGCTCTATGTGGATGGTTATCAACTTTTTCATGGAAAACGCTGCTTCGGTTTTTGAGTGTAGATATACAAAGTGTATATAGTGGTATTCTTAAACTTTGCACACAAACATAATAAACCCTTTCAATGATTAATTGAATCCAGGATAAGAATTATTAGTATGCCAAAAATGTCTATGTTGGCCCCCCTCCAAGTATGGTTATGTTGCTCCTTGTGGGCCAGACGAAAGAGGGGAGGATCACCCTTCTGGGATTCTTTCGATATATATGACCTGTTTATGAGGTCTTTGTCATCCAACTTCGCGTGTCAATGCAAGAAGTAAAAAGGGGCCACATATTATTGCACAGAAGTCATTTTCTGTGGCATCGAGGTAAGAAAGCTTCTAAAGAGCCGTCAGCATCCAACGCTAATAACTAAAGGTGTCAGACTGTGAGTCTGTATTATTATTATTATTATTATTATTATTTACAAAAGATAAATAGCGAAGATGAAATTTAAATTCAATATCGTAAAATTAATGGCTCATCTTTGACCTCCCCACGCCTATAAATCGATTTCTTACCTTCCATTCGTAAACCCTAATTCCTGGAATTTCTGGAATCCCACCTGCGCCACCTCGTAACCCTCGAAGAAGCCCAGACCCGTTCCGTGTCGTCGAGACGCGACTCCCCTCGCGAGATCTAAATCTTGATTCTTGATCATCCCGTCGATCCCGTCCAGTCTCCGTTTCAATCGAACTCCGCTAAGGTTTCGCTATGGTGCTTGGCGAAGACTCCTCATCCGCGCCGCCCGGCGACGCCCAGACCCCTTCACCAGGCTCAAAGCTCCCCTCGGACTCCAACCCGGCTGCGGGGAACGACGACAGCGAAGTAGAGACGCTAGCTCGCCAGGTCCAGGAAAGCCTCGCACTTGGCACGCACCACCGTTTCTGGGAGACCCAGCCAGTCGGTCAATTCAATGATCTCGGCGACACCAGCCTGCCCGAGGGCCCGATCGAGCCACCATCCCTCCTGTCGGACGTCAAGTCGGAGCCTTACAACCTCCCCGCCCCTTACGAGTGGACAACCTGCGACATGGACGACGAGCATACCTGCACCGAGGTCTACAATCTCCTCTCGCTCAACTACGTCGAAGACGACGAGAATCTATTCCGCTTCAACTACTCCAAGGAGTTCCTCCGGTGGGCCCTCCACCCGCCGGGCTACTTCAAGGCCTGGCATATAGGGGTGCGGGTGAAGGCGACCAAAAAGCTCGTAGCTTTCATCACCGGGGTGCCCGCCAGGATCAGAGTCCGCGAGGATGTGGTTCGCATGGCAGAGGTGAACTTCTTGTGCGTCCACAAGAAGCTGAGATCGAAGCGACTCGCGCCGGTGATGATAAAGGAGGTCACGAGGAGGGTCCATCTGGAAAACATCTGGCAGGCGGTGTACACAGCCGGAGTTGTCCTCCCGACTCCTATCACAACCTGCCGTTACTGGCACAGGTCTCTGAATCCGAAGAAGCTCATAGATGTCGGGTTCTCACGGCTTGGAGCTCGGATGACTGTGAGCCGGACGATTAGGCTATACAAGCTGCCAGAATCGACGGTGACCCCGGGTTTCAGGAAGATGGAACTTCGTGATGTTCCCGCTGTAACCAGGCTTCTAAGGCAGTTCTTGAGTCAGTTTGTGGTAGCACCGGACTTTGATGAGAATGATGTGGAGCATTGGCTTCTTCCATTGGAGAACGTGGTGGATAGTTACTTGATTGTGAGCCCTGAGACTCAGGAAGTCACAGACTTTTGCAGCTTCTATACTCTTCCAGCTTCTATTCTCAACAACCCGAATTACTCGGTCTTAAAGGCTGCATACTCTTTCTACAATGTGTCAACAAAAACTCCTTTGCTCCAGCTGATGAATGACGCTCTAATTGTGGCAAAACAGCAGGACTATGATGTCTTCAATGCTCTTGATGTCATGCACAACGAAGCCGTCCTTAAGGAACTGAAATTTGGACCTGGCGACGGTCATCTCCACTACTATCTGTACAACTACCGGATCAGAAATGGTCTGAGACCATCGGAATTAGGCCTTGTTCTTCTATAGGTTTCTCTTATGATCTCAGTTCTCTATTTGGTTGTCTGTTGCCTGTGCTTTTTCTGTTTTCTATTGATAACAATGTGTGTGTGTATGTTTGTTTTTTTCCTCATAGTAATCCTGGATCTCATTTTTCTTGCATTGAGACCATTGAGGAATCCAATGTTAGGTTTCTTGAGGAAATTATTATTATTATTATTATTATTATTATTATTATTATTTTTCTTTTTCTCGACTGCAATCATCGGAAATTCCTGGCTCGAACTTGCTAAGTTGTTATGCAACTCCAATGTTTTAGCTATTACTGCAGGTGTAATTTCGTGCTTGGCGCTGTCGTGCTTCTGAGTGATAATGGCTTGACTTCCATATCTGATAACAAGTTGCAAATAGGTGTTTAAGAATTAATTACAAATAGATGTTTTATTTGAAGGGGGATGTATTGCTAATTGGTGTGAGTTTTATTTTCCTTGTTGTGTTTGTTTTTTTGTTGCCATAACAGACTTCCCTATTGTGATAATCCCCGATCAAGCTTAGATAGGAAATTCAGGTGCATGTAAGCTTGGTGCAATCAATAAATAGAATTGGTGGATGTTAAGGATTACTTAAGCGTGGATAATTGTGGAGTATTGAGAAAATTGTTAATTTATGGATCATCAGCAATGGTACGTATCTGTGCTGTTAGGTATAATTCAACTAATCACAATTCCTTCTCAGTTTTGACTCTTTGGCATATATCTGTTACTTTTTAGTGTGATGGTTTTGGTATCAAATCTGTGGCAACAAAATGTTGCCATCTGCTTTGTGCAGATTCATAGCTGTACAAGTGATCTCAGATGTGCTAAAAGATTTTTATCGTGTTAGTTCAACCACATGAGCTGCATCTCCTAGTCCCTTTTACTTGTCACATAAATTTGGCATCTGGTGCTTTGATCATCGCATAGGTTTGGCATGTGTTGCTTTATTCTGCTAATAGATCTTTCCAAAAGTTTTGTTCCATTTCATCGCGTTCAGTGCAATTTTAATGAGGTGATTTTGGTACTTGTAGTATTTTCTCCAGTCCTGCATCTGAAACTCCCTCGGAGCCATGTTGGTTGGCACTCTTTTTTCATGGCTTTGGTTCTTATCAGTTTGTTTTCTCGGTTTTACTTTTTATTCTCGCTCGGAGACTTGTCGATCATTTCTCTCCATGTCCTTTAAATATCATCTGTTATGAAGAAATTTAAAATGTCGGTTTTGGCTCATCATATCTTGGATTTGACAAGCAATCGGTTTATTTGTGGTTATGAGCTTCATCTGGTCAGCTGCAAGTTAAGTTTTTGTATGCCACTTGATGTCAAGTTTAGTCTTGCTTTTCGTATCATGTACGTCAGACGTGCATGTTCAATTATTTTGCTTGCCTATGTAGCTTGGTTTGCCAATGTATTAGTCACTTCATTTGCCGCTTAAGTACTCAATATATTTTTGTGATTTGAGAATCAATTGTGTTTTAGTGATGTTGAAATCTGACGAGTTCAGCCGCCACAGACGTGTAGTCTCTGAAGATGCAGAGCTTTTCCTGTATGTAGATACGCTTCTAAGATCAGAAACTGGGTTGGAGGATTGAGGCGTCTCTACGAAGATTTGAGAATGGCAGGCAAATATGCAACTTTGGTGCATTTAGACCTGGCTCACCTCTAGCCGAATTGACCGACCTTTATGCCTTGAGTGAAGGTAGGAGTCGAGTTTTCCCGACCTTTAGACCTTTATACCTCAAGCGAAGGTAGGAGTTGGGTTATCTCGCCTCATATATTTAACGAGTAACTATTCTCCTTTGAGTAAGCGTTCATTAAGAGGATCGACGAATGAGTGTTTTTATAACATTGGGCTCTTCTAGTATCAAATATATTGATATGATTCGAACTCGTATGTGTAAAATTATCGAAATATTAAGCTTTCGAGGTGTCACTTATATGAAGATCAAGATCGGGAGAGATTTTTCGATCTGATCTCTCTGACGCCCATGTTAGTAATCCAAAATATATGAGTACGAACATTAATGATAAAAAAAAATAAACTCCTCTCTCGTTATATTAAAAATAAATTTTATATTTAATAATAAAGGAACAAAATATTCTATAAAATATTCTACAAAGAAAAGGTAGTTTTCGTGAATCTTTGTTCCTAACTTTTTGATGATATCGATAAAAAAAAACACACACACACACACGATAGTACGATCACAGCCATAGCGCAACCGGACGTATGTATCCCTGAACCGCCGAAAGGCTCCTCCCCAGCGTCCCCTTCATCTTTCCCTCCACTGCGTAGGCCTTGTGGCCGACCACGCGCTTCCGCCGCCGGAGATCCGAAGACGCGCCAGCCCACGCGCTTCCACCCGCCTATCATCTGTCGAGTCTCATTAATTGGGCCGAGAAGCGAAGATTGAATTTAATTTCGATTTACGTTTCCCGCATGCTTTAAAAGAAGTGGGATGGATACGAGCTTTGCCATGCGGACTCCACTTCCATCGCCAGCTCTACCCGTACAGAGCTCCTTTTAAGCGAGAGAGGGACGACTCGTGTACTGCGTTGTCCGCTATCGCAACCGCTCTGTTAATTAGGTCAACCCGTGCACCATTATGGACGTCGTCGGACTACGATCCCTTCTCCTCCTTTCTCTCGAACGCTAATCTATCGTTCCTTCGATTTGGAGGTGACCCTCAGGCTCCATTCTCCGATCGATAGGCTCCGGGCGCGTCTCCAGCCCCTGCCCGCGTCGTGCATTTGTTTCGATTTTTTCGCTTCGAAAGGTCGGCGGAGGGGAGTTTTTGTTGCTTCGTTCTTCTCGATAATTTTTGTTGCTTGGGTCAGGTCACAGTTTGATTTGGGCGGGTCTCCATCTTGTGACCGCGGTGGTCGGATGGAGCCCCGCGTTGAGAACAAATTCCGCCTCGGTCGCAAGATCGGCAGCGGGTCCTTTGGGGAGATCTATTTAGGTTGGTGGCTGCTACATAATCTCCCGATCGCTTCGGTTCGGAGCCTG